TATAATAAAATATATATAGCTATAGAAGTACTAAATTTAATTCTAAAAGCGCTTATTTTAAGTACTTAATTTAGTAACTAATTCTAACTATAGATATTTAATTTTAGCTTTACTTTAAGTTTAAAATTTAGCTATAAATATTAAAATTTAGTTATAGATAATAAAATTAGCTATAAAAGTACTCTTTTTTAGCTATAGAAGCGCTAATCTCTAGCTATAAAAGTATCTATTTTAAGTACTTAATTTAGTAACTAATTCTAACTATAAATAGCTAATTTTAGTTTTACTTTAAGTTTAAAATATTAGCTATAGTTATTAAAATTTAGCTATAAATATTAAAATTAGCTATAAAAGTACTCTTTTTTAGCTATAGAAGTATCTATTTTAAGTACTTAATTTAGTAACTAATTCTAACTATAGATAGCTAATTTTAGCTTTAGTTTAAGTTTAAAATATTAGCTATAGATATTAAAATTTAGCTATAGATATTAAAATTAGCTATAAAAATACTTTTTTTTAGCTATAAAAGTACTAAATTCTAGCTATAGAGATACTAATCTCTAACTATAGAAGTATTTATTTTAAGTACTAAATTTAGTAACTAATTCTAACTATAGAAATTTAATTTTAGCTTTACTTTAAGTTTAAAATTTAGCTATAAGTATTAAAATTTAGCTATAAGCGCTAAATTCTAGCTATATATAAACTATACTAGTAGTAAGTATAGTAATTATATAAAGAACTTTAAAATTTAGCTTAAAACTTCTTTATACTATAACTTTATAATATAAGTAGCTATTAATAAGCTAAGTAAAGTATTAAATTTATATAGTTATTCTATATAAGATAGTTTACTTAGATTTTATTTAAGCTTTTTAGTAGTAAAGTTTAAAAGCTTTAGAGCTACTACTTTAGAGCTACTCTCTATTTTTTGTTAGTACTTATTACCTCTACTAAAAATTGCTTAGGCCTAGCAGCTCTAAGACGTTCTCTAGGGTAGGCGGGCTAAGCGTCTCTGTTCTTGGGCTCTTTCGACATCGCTCCGCTTCCACATTGACAGTCGAGGTGTGCGTCGCGCAGCTTCCTCGACTTGGCCTTAAGGAAGCGTCGGGATGCTATGCTTCTAGTCTCTCTCTACGGGTCGTTCTCCGTATCCTATGCGAAGCAACGTGGGTAAGGCTTACCCGGCATCACGATCATCCGGCGTCCCTTTCCTCTGCCTCGACCCCTCTTAGCCTCCCAGCCTCTCCTGTGTCGCTTGTCACTTCGTCACAGGTGTTGCTGGTTGCGACATAGCCTCCCAAGCCCCAACAGACGTGCGCTCTCACTCCCGCTGTCCGCCATGCCCAGCCCGCTCACTAGCATTGTCTCCTTCGCTGTTCGGCAGAGCCCCGCCCACCCACTAGCCCGCCAATCTTGTGTCAAATTCACAGCCTCGCGGATGGCTGGGAAGGCTGCTCTGTTCGGGTCGGGATTGTGCGTATCGGGTATCGTTCGGATTGTGCAGACGCGTGTGTGGGATATGGCGGAGGGCGCGCGCCTTGCTCGAGGATCGTGAAGGGAGTTTGGAGGAAGAGTTGCCGACGGCGAGGATGGCGGTGGAATAGTTGGGGATGCCGTAAGAAGGTCGAGGAATAGGTGATGATGGCAGAGGGCGGTCGGGAAACAGTTGGTCAGGGCGGGAAAGGATTGAACAACAGTTGGCGAAGGCCAAGGACGCGCTGGTGGCAGCGCTTCATCGTAGCACGGTCGCATTGGTATGTCGCAAAGTTGTAGCCGCGCGAGCTAAACAAGTCGCGCGCTGTGATGCGTAACGACGGCCATAGCGAGATGTCAAGTGAGCGACTAGTGAGAGGCTCAGCTTTAGCAGCGAGGATCGCCAGGTTCGTATGGCGGGACTGAAGCGTTGAACGGTATTGCGACGCGCTCGGTGTTGGTAACGCGAGCAGCCATCACTCGCGCTGCAAGTCTCGGTACACGCTTCCCCAGATCTTGGAAAGGTGCGTCCTGTCGGCTCCTCAGACCTACGTTCCACAGCGAGTGCGCTCGAACTCTCACCATGACACTAGGAAATACTGTAGCATCGCTTGGCTTTGGTCTCAAAGCTGTCCATGGCGGATGAGCCTTCGGCAAGCGAATGGTGTGCGGCTTGCCGCGTGCGGGCAATCGTCGGTGGTCAATGAGCCTCTTCGTAACATGTTCGGTTTCCTTCACGACGCTGCTCGGGTGAGGCCGCCGTCCGGGCCATTGCAGCATGCGCTCTCGCCATGCGATGGGTTCCTCAATGCTTCTGCCCGGGTAAGAAGGTTTGGTGTTCGCGATGACGGTGCGCTACTCTCCGTCACATCTAGCGTCTTGGCGTGGGACAGAACTTCGCCGCGGAGGTGCGCAGTGGCCACGCGCGGTTATGGAGTGCGCCGCATGGCTCGTCGACACCTATCCTTGCAACGCTATGATGACGGTGCCAATGATGCGAACGCTCGACTTCTTGTTGTTCATGGGCCCGGTGGATCATCCCCTGTGTCAATCGACAATTTGAATTGCAACGGGGAGATGCACGCTCCTCGGGTCATCGGAGACAGCTGCACGGTCTACGCTACCACATGGCGGCGCCGTCGATACGCCTCGCCTGCAACATCCCGCAACAAAATACCGGCCCGTACCGCATACACCGGACGCATGCCTAGTGCCCTGACTACTTACTCCAACATCACACGACGTATTCCAGATGACTCGAGAGCCCTATGCCTAAGCCGTGGAAGGAAGCGACACAGTCACGATGCGCCGCAGCAATACGGCAGTCTTAGAGGTCGCCGATGAGTAGTTGCGCAGAGCATCTTCACAGTTTCCACAGAGCCAACCGTACGTCCTACCACGAGTGTCCTCGAATGCGATGCTAATATGTATCTAGTGTGAACCTCCAAACCTTCTTTAGCGACTACCGTTCGCAGTCTCCGTCCCGTCACGTTGACCCCTCGCGTCGCATATTCACACAAATCACACGCCAATGATGGGACAGCCCGCATCTCCGCGCACTGTGCGCTGCGAACAAGATCCGATCATGTCTTCCACTAGCATCAGCGGCAGCCGGTCCTCTCCGAGAGTCCGTCGACGGTGGGACGAACCGCACAACAGCAGGGACTTCACCACCAGTCCTGGTGCCAGCTCTGGCATGAAATCATCGCTCTGAAAGCGCTCTGCTTCTTGTGCGATAAGAGAATCGGCTCAAATGACTGCGTTATTAGCGTGGGTGGATTGTTGACGGTTCCCGCTCCTCAGCTTTCCCCAGTGGGAGACCGTCATCAACCGATAGGCCATGGATGAAACCAGAGCTTTGGGCATACTTACGGATGGGTAGGTAGATATTGGGGCTTGCCGACTCATGGTGAGTGGTTGCGCACGCGCAGATTTCGGCTCTGTACTCACAAATGTGATCGAGCAGAAGCCGGTATTCGTCCTCCTTCCTCCACCTATGCCTACGCCCGCGCGCCTCCACCGATACCACCCGATGCCACAGATCCACGGAACAAGCAAATGAGCCTGGTCCGACGTATACCAGTAGGGTGATAGCAAGGCTGGTGTTTCAGATCGCCCCCGGTCCGGCGGGAGCTGGACACATCACATCGCCATCGTACGCGCGACGGCGCAATACGGAAATACGGTACACGCGATGATGCAGTGCAGGGCCTTCGCGGGGCTTCTGCGACCAGGCGTTATGGCACCGTTCGCGACAAAGCTGACTCGCTGGCTGATCACTGACGGAGCTGTTCCGCTGACGGTCGTTTCCTTGGGGCTACCCGGCAGTTCAGTACTTAGTGGGAGCGCTCATCGCTTCGTGTTTTTGCATAGCGACAGCTCAAGCTCATTGCGACAGTAGCAGTACCCTCACATAGTGCGCCATACGCATGCCAATTCTCCATCCAAGTACACTGCGAGCATGCCGAACCAGGCCTAGTCAATGCGCCCGCTGCGGCTACTGCCGCCGGTCGAGATTTGGACCACAAGAACCGTAAGGGCCACCACGAGCAAGATGCATTGCGTGTCGGGTGCCGTCAACTCAAAGACGGGTGAGCAAAATCATGGCTTCCTTTCGAAGAATGACTCCGGATCACGGTAGCAGAGCACAGTCTCGTCCTGTATTACGGCAGCTCCATCGCAAGACCAGTTCCACGACTATTTAAGCCGACTGACGGTGCGAACAACGTCCCTGCAACTTTGGATCCCTTGCCCTGATGAAGGGCCTGATCTACCATCGAACGAGGCAGTTGAAGCTGATATCGAACAATCTCGCAACTCACACGCCAATGTATGCAGCTGAAACCCGCAAGGCTCTGCGCTTGAGGCTGTTGTCTAGTACGACCGGGGCTTTGCGATGATCGTGTGTGACGTGCCGGTTCCAACGATAGATTGTACCGATTGTGGCCGGGCCTTGATTCGGGCTGAACATGAAGATGTTACTCTGGCATACAGTATGATCGCGACATCTTTGATAGGTGGGCCAGCTACATTGACAGCGCTTCTACAAACTGCTGACCCCTTTTGGGCTGGGTGAACATTGATGTGAGCCGTTTTTGTACAGGACTGCAGTCGGCAATATCTCCGCGGGGCACCGCCGATCGTCTTCACCGGTTTTCCCGAGCCATCCTATCTAACCTGCGACCCCACATTGTTGCGTAGAATTGTCTTTTGCCTGCGTCGCTGTCTAGGTCAGAACTCGGTTCAGCCTTGTGCGACACAATCCATTGTATCCCATCCAAGAATAAAGGCATACGAAAAGATGCGATGCAGCGTGATTTCCAAGAGAATGCGTATCGCAGGCTGATCCCGTGGGCTCCTCCAATGAAATGCGATGTAGGTAATTGGAGCTGGATTCTGCATGCTGCACTGCCTGCATACATGAAGCCTAAGCGCCTAGGTAGACCGAAGCCTCAGCCTGATCGTATTAATACATAAAGCGCTGGTCCCCGCTTTCATCCTCGTGCTTCCTTGCATCAACCACGATGGAGCCGCTCGCTGCCCTGGGAATTGCTGGGAACATCATACAGATAGTGGACTTCGCCTCTAGCCTTGTGTCGCGTAGCCACGAGCTGTATCAGTCAGCTGATGGCAAGCTCGCCGATCATACAGTGCTGCATAGTGCTGCGCAAAACCTTCTGGGGTTGTGCGACGAGTTGCGCCTTCTCGATCCGCAACGCGAACCCGAGCCTGTTGGTGCCCTCGACTTCATGTACGCGGTTACCACACCTAAAGAACCTCCCAAGCTCTCTGCTGCCGATGCCCGACTTGTTCAGCTTATGAAAGACTGCGAAGCTGCCGCGAACAAGCTTCGCGCCGCTCTAAACAAAGCAAGCGGAAGCAGCCGTAACAACGCGTGGAAAAGTGTTTATCAAGCCTTAAAGAGTATACACAGCGATCAGGAGATTACAAAGCTTGCTAGTCAGCTTGAAAGCATCCGGAAGCAGGTGGATAGTACTGTGCTGGTCTCAATTCGGTATATGATTACTTCCTGAATTTAGTTGTACTCTACTAACATTTGCAAGACAGCGAGTGGATGCTGTAGTAGAGAAGCCAGCATCAGCTAAGTTCCCCAGTAACTTGCGTGGGTTCCAAATTGAGAGGGATCAAAGAGACAAGAAACTGCTCGAGGCAGTCTACGCCAACAACTGGACGGATACCAACGCGCAGGATGTCGAGGAGTTTTCGAGACATTTACGTTCCAACACATCTAAATCGCAAAAAGAGCAGTTTTGCGACCTCTTGCTGCCTCGACTGTATTTTCAACATATGGTCAATCGGTCCGAAAGCATATCTGAAGCGCACAAACAAACATTTGAGTGGTTGTTTGACCCTCGGTACAGCTTCTCTACATGGCTCCAGGAAAAAGATGAAGGTCTCTACTGGATTACTGGCAAGCCTGGCTCCGGCAAATCAACCTTGATGAAGTTTCTGTACAACCACAAAACTCTTGATGCACAATTAAGTGCCTGGGCGGATTCTCGGGGTGGCCCAAACAAGATCACGAAGACCGGGTTCTACTGCTGGAATTCGGGAAGCGACATGCAGATGTCGCGTCTAGGCCTCCTCCAGACCTTGCTTCACCACTGTCTCTCAGGAGACACTGAACTATGTCTTAGAGCGTTTCCCGAGCGTTGGAAGCAGTTTGCTGCATTTGGCGGTGGCCTAGAGACGTCCTGGGATTGGTTTGAGCTCAAGCGATCTTTCGAGAACATTATATCAGATCAGTCTCGGTCGTTCTTCATTCTTATCGACGGTCTGGACGAGTTTGACGGAGAGCTGAAGGATATTATCAAGCTTGTCTTGGGCGCTGTACGCCCGAACGTCAAGATGTGTGTTGCGAGTCGACCATGGCTCCCCTTCGAGGATGCGTTCAAAGGCCGTCCAAACTTGCTTCTCCAGGAATTGACGCAGCATGATATATCCACATATGTGGCCGAGACCTTTCGCGAAAACGAGCATTACATCCGCTTACAGCTTGACGCTCCCGCCGAGGCAGAGTTCCTATGTCAAAGCATCGTTGAAAAGGCTTTGGGTGTGTTCCTGTGGGTTCATCTTGTCGTGGAGTCGCTGCTCGAGGGTCTTTCGAACTCAGACAACCTGCGTGATCTTCAAGCGCGCCATGACGCGCTTCCCTCCGACTTGGAGGCACTCTTCGAAAATCTACTACATAGTGTAGACGATCGGTACTACACACAAGCTTGCCAAATCTTTTACATGTTACGACTCCATCGGGAGAGCAATGCTGGCCAGAAACGCAATTACAACACGCCTTCCCTGCTGGGGATGCATTTCGCAAGTGACGAAAACCTGACTTCGAGTATCATGGCACCTTGGGAAGTTCTTGAGGAGCATGAAGCTTGCCGTAAGTCTGAACACATGAGAAGGCGCCTCGTCTCTCGATGCCGAGGTCTCTTGGAAACATCCAATCCTGAATCCAATCGTCCTGCGTTCGACCATGAGATCATTTACCTCCATCGCACTGCGCGAGACTACATCGAATCTCGTAATTACTGGCCGAAAGTTGTAAGAACGGCTAGCCATGGAGACTTTAGGGCAGAACAACGCTGGGCGAACGCCAATCTATGGCTGTACAAAGTCCATCCGCTCGTTTCACCCATCAGTGGCGGTTGGCATTACAGCCTCCAGAGATCCAAGCTTGATTGCGCTTCTGCTATAATGTCGTTTCCGGAAACAGAGAGTCAGCTTCGCAAAGCTTATCTGGACGAGATGCTGCTTGCCGACCCTTACTTGAAGTTAACATCATTTGAAGAGTCCTTGAAAGAAACACTGGGGCTAATCAAACGAGTAGACGGCCTGGATCAGTGTTACCGTGAGCTATACCTCGCCGAGCTTACCGCAAGGGCAAGTCCGGAAGAACGAGAAACACTCAACAAACATTCCGGACACACCAGCATCGACAAGGCCAACGGACGGCACCACGTTGTACGGCATCATGGGAGTCAGAGCTTCTTCCGATTGACAGGGTATTATAAGATGCGGAGGGGAATAAAGCGTCTTCGACAGCGAACAGCTGATTGACGGACTAAGACGGATATCCGTCTTGGCTGCGTCAATTCGAGGCTACACCAAGAGTTCGCATTGAATGCTTGGAAGCTGCTATCGCTGGGGCGTCCAATCTTGCGACGATGCAGCGGTCGTTACCACGAGGGCCGGAGCAGATCCATCAGCGTCGAGCGCCTGCTATCAGAGTCGTTGGCGATTGAAGTGCCCAACATCCTTTCAACGGCCTCTGCCAACTCGGAGATCTTGAAGGGATGCACGTAGCGGCGGCGCACGTAAAGCGATTGTAATATCATGTAGCGTCGAATCGGCTTGTGATGCCTTCGTTCAGGTCCCCCGATAAGTCCCATGCGCGGGCTCACTACCCAGGCAGTCGAAGGCGCAGTCCCCTCGCTGGCAGGGCCACAAGAATGCGCAGCTGGGGGAACTTCGAATCGTACGTGGTCAGTGATATGCGTTCGACAAGAATGGAGGCAGTATGACAGCCACGGTTGCAAGTGTTGCTGCATGGAGGCTGTGTCTGCTGCGCCGCTGTTGTCGCGCGCCACGGGACCTCGAGAGTGACATGTTGAGACTTCCAGCTACTCCCATTGGTTGACGCCTGTCCCACCCCACAATACGCTCACAGCATGTCCGCGTTCGTACCCATCCCAGCAACACGCCCCGCACCACCGCTGTTTCGTCATTCGAATTTCCCGAAACAACTTCTCTTGATTACGACGTATCAACGAGGGTTCTACCGAAGAGCTGTAGTTGGTTCCACAACATGAAAGAGGAAGGGTGATTGTAACTACCTGAGTAGACGTCTTGACCACGTCGCCGCGCAATCCATCCTTGCATCACAGGCTTTCGAAACAGCGCGTCACGTCTTAGTCTTCCGTCTGCCAATCGCGGCCGGGCTCATCTTTCACCATCACCGCAAGAGTCGCGATGGACGGCATGGCAGTGTAGAGTGCGTCATTCTGCTGCTGCGCGTGACGCACCTCTTGACGTCGCTACAACAGGATGACACCTTCGCCGATCGTCGCGCGCTTTATGCTGATAAGTCACTGTCTCACATTGTCCTCGCTGCGACGCAAATATTGAGAGCTTGCTTCGCCAACAGGGACTATCGTGGACCAACATCTGGCTCATCCTGGAACGTTCATACACGAAAATATCCATGCGGTGCCATCACAATGCGCCGAGGCCGATCGATGCGATGAACAAAGCCTCCGCCTGGTCGATAACATCCATATCTTGTTTTCGGCAGCGCCTTCAAATGCGGCATCAGTAACATCGACAAGCGGAGACAAGGAGGGCGATACCGAGTGTTTGGCGCGTTCCCTCAGGGCTCGCGAGGCATGGCGGTGAGCGAGTCATCAGCGAGGTACATTCGATCATCTTTTAAGACGTTGACTTCGACTTTCCTGCAAAACCTTCCGGTTCTCGGTGATGGATTGCGCAAACTTGGGCCCACGGCTGCCGAGGCATCGCGGCCCAAAGACCAAACATTCCACAGGCCTAACTCTCTGAAAGAGGGCTTCTCAAGCTGATATAGGAAAGTTCAAGCGTCGCAGATAAGCTCAGGTCCTTCCTTCAATGACAAGCTGCGCCTGAAATGGCTCGCCGGTCCACCCACAAGTCTCACGAGACTGAAGAACTCTTTGGTACACACAGCGCAGTTGTTGAAAGCCTGAGATGACCTTGATAGATGGGTCGCGGATTGCAGGATCGAGTGTGGCTGCATGGTTAGGGGGGTGTCTGCTGCGCGACGGCCAGGCATCTGCGCATGTTGTGTGCTCCGAGGGCACGCGGGCGGGCGACGCGCTAGGGACTTCCGGGTGCTCCGATTGGTCAGTGGCCGCCCCGCTCAACAAGACGCACTCGACCCCATCGCAGCGACCCCTTCACGACAACACCATCACAACGACGCGACGCGCATTACCGCGCGCACCACATCCTATCCATCGCAAACATCGCCAAGTCACATGCGTTCGATCCAGCGGTAGACCGTTGCGCTCAACATGACGAACAGCGACTTCGCGCGCTTGCGCACCCAAGGACACGCTGAGGCGTACGAAGAGTGTTGAACTTGCGCACAACCACCTTACCCGGGCAATCATTGCTGTGGGACATGGTAGGCATATGTCGATACAAGCTCCATCAACTTTGGATCACTAACCAATGCCCAGGCGCCCAATGTGATCATCGTCATTCTGGGTTGAGCTCCATCCGCGGCACCCTGCCAAATCGCACTTACCCATCCTCGTACGGTCGACGACGATAGAGCCCTCCGGCCGCACCCATATCTTCGCGATACCCAGGCGTCATAGCATACTCAATATGCCGAGCCTTCGTATGTCGCGTTTCGCCGGCGCGCATGGCGGGTCCTAAGCCTCCACCTCGACGTACAGAGCAAACATCGAAGACCACACCACTGGTTCGCGAAGCGACGGGCGAATATCCGACTGTGGCACAACACATTCGCTAATGTCTCGCGGGAAAGTCAGTGTTTCCGGGGTAAAACGCCCTTTCAGATCGTCATGGGCGGCAACAATATCCAGATGCATGGCAGGCACTCTAGCGCGGCTGCCTTCCCTGGCGGACTCGAGAACTATACCACTGTGTTGTCCTCTTCTGGGAGAGACGACTTAGAGCTACTCTGGGCGGGCCACGATGTGCTCCGGCAATGCACTCGCTACTCTTGACTGGTCTGCAGCCCTCATGGGACACACATGCAGCCACCACGACGTGAGGCGCCCTTACCATCCTCCTCCGTGCCGTCCTGCCACCAGCGCGTCGTCACAAGCTTCAATTGATCGAAGACGAGAAGCTACGCTTTGCCACCGCTTTATTCCGTGTCGAATCCCTTGCCGCAGACGACGTCAGCAATGCGCGTGTAATCGCCGCCTGATGAACGACAACGAAACGCATTCACCAGCCTTGACAGCATATGCCACACGACTAAGCGCTTCGATCCACCTGCCCCCCACCATCCTGTCGATTACACACGTGCGCGCTTGGCTTCCACATACGAATTGGCGGAAGCAGCATGGCACCCGGCTGCCTGCCTAGGTCGACTGTCTACGGCCGCTTGTCACCAAGTGTCTAGTCGTGCATCGTTCCCTGCGAACCCATTGCAGGCTGCTCGAGCCCGACAAACCGGCACCGTTTCCGGCTTCGGTGGCCCGAGCAGTAGAGGACCGGGCGGCGAGGACACAGCTGAGGGGCAATGGGATGAGCTTGTTCAGGCGCGCGTAGCCGTTGTACACTGGACTATGGGGACTGACAAGCCTAGCACGGTCTCTGGTCGTGCGTGTGTCGCAGTGAGTTTACCCATCGAGCAGTCTTCCTACACCTTACTGATGTCGATGTGGTAGACTCGGACAGTACGCGCCACTCACAAGTCCATATCCTGCAATGCTGCCACCCTTCATTGCTCGCCTCCTTCGTAGATCTCGTCCCTCCCCGCGACCGCCTGCTTCCCCGCGGTTCAGCGTCCTGAACCGCCCACATACTTCCTCTCAGACGGCAGCATGGCTCATACCGTGACGCCCATCAAGGACGCAAAGCATCTCGCACTGAGCACGACAACTTGATCATTAGGCATCGTCGTAGCACGGCCATCGAAGGCAACCTCTCACCGCCCCAGAGCCGAGAAGGAAGCGGAGACAATGACCCAAGATGGGGATGCTCTTGGGACCCGCCTTGAAGTCGAAGCAGTCGCATTGATTCTTGAACGCGCAATGAGGCCAGCTCCAAACCATATGGATCCTCACAGTGCTCGCCCTGGGCAGGGGTCAAGAGGAGGCGACGCTGGTGGAGCGACATTTGCTTCCTAGCTGGTGGCGATGATCGATGAGATCGCGCGTGTGTTCTCAGGCTCGCGACAGGCGCCACACGCGCAGGCAGACTATCGCCATTGGTCTCAGGAACACAACGCGAACGCCCCTACCCGCGCGTTGTGATGACTTCATCCTTCTTCCACTCACGCTCACCCGGTTCAAGATTTTCGCCATGCAACACCCTGCATACATGTGCTACGATTCGTTTAATTCGGCGATGTTCGCTCGGAACACGAGCTATACGCTTCATTTACAGCCTCACGCACACCAAAAGACTAATACTGGCTAGACGCTTGCTCGGTATTTATCTCGGGCACAGTCAGTGCTTGCGCATCGTCACTTGAACAGCAGAATCTGTTGGCGCATACAGGGCATCGCCATAGACAAGCTGGGGATGTGAGTCGCGTCCCACCACCCCGTCATTGCTGCAGGTGGCCTGGGAAGGCAGAATTAACGGGTGCACCAGGGCCGATCGCCAGTCCTACATGTCATATTGAAACGTCGCCACGACGACAAATATCTCGCTGAGCAGTGTCGTATCGCCTGTTTGAGCCACCGGATACGCTCCCTTCATCACTGCTTCGTTACTCCTCGCTCTCGCGCCATCATCGCCCACCATCGTGCGACTCTGTGGCGACACTTCATCCGCTCCGCAACCGCTCAACGCAAGGGTGGGCCATCGAAGCACCTCTGAAGACTATACTGCGTAATGCCAACGAGCCCACGAGAGCGTCGCTACAGGCCGTCTCGCAATCATCGTCGGCGAATTCACGGCTTCACGAACCGGGTGGGCTGTCGCATCCGCTTTGTCATCACCAGTGCCATTGCGATCAGCCAACGCGTAAGTCCGTAGATGAACACAGGCAAGGTGTTGTCGCCATTGAATGGATGGATGTCGCAACACCGCCCAGGTGCGTATGGTCATATCTCAAGTGCTAAGGGGTGTTGGCAAACATGCGGTCGGACCCGTTCTGAAGGACATATGCAATGGTGCTTCGTGAGAATGGATAAAAATATAACCTCTGCTCCTTAGCCATCCGTCATGCGTCGTGGGGGTTGCAACAGCGCAGACCTCATCGTACTTCACTTCGCTCACTACACTTATCCATGCCATCTGATTTGATGCACGCAGCTTCATGTTTGCCGTCGGAAACGTGTGAGTCAAGAGTTGCCCGTTTTGTGTCGGTCGTT